ATTCGATACCGTGTCTTGTCTGCGATACCGTCTATCGATCTGGCCTATCATGTAATCCGAATGACGCAGGCAGCACGTATGCCACAAGTCTAAGTTCAGATAGGCGGATGCCGTTGAGCCTGTGCGTCAAGGTAGGCTAAGTCGGGGGGCTGCATCGGAGTCACAGAACCGCAGCGAACGTGTGTTTGCAACGTTTGCAGCGTTGGTGTAGATTGAAGATCAAAATGGGTCAACAATTATTATTAACATGGCAAAGTCATATTTGTCTGGATATGTCCAGCATTCAGTCAGGACTGATAAGTGGTACGAATTATGCAACGCAGTTTTGAGTTGCGCGCTCGCACATCTTAGTAAAAAAGCTCTACGCCAGACGTTGCAGAGGTACGCCTAACCTGAGCCTGCGCAGCGTCGGTCCCAAGGTAACACTAGGCCGTAGCCAACAGTTGCATGAAAATTGTGGCGCATCTGAAACAAGAACCTTTGAATGCTTTTGAACGCTAAATCGTACATTTAGGAATGTTCCCGGCGCATATTTCATTTCCGCGATTTTAGATTGATGACAATAACGTACTGCTCCTCACAGCGCCGCGAAGTAGGGTGGAGCCCGGTGCTGAAACTGGAACAGTAGGGTCAGACCTCTGTTTTCCGTGTTGCTGTAATTGTTAATCTGTCCAGAGAAGAACCCCAAAGTTGTGGAGAAAGACTGCCCAGTGCATTCTTTGAACTGCACGAATTTATTTTAAAAGACATTGAAAAATATTATTTTAGGAAAATCATTGCTGCGCGCTCGGCGCCCGCCGCCTGGCGTTACTTGCAGCGGCCAAAGCCGTTCGGTTTTGCGAAAACTGCGACCCATGCCATCGCTATCCTTGCTCCCCCAGATTATGGGCGTTGCAATGACGCCTTACGACGCCCTCAGCTGCTGGGGCTATATGGCGCCACTAGCCTCTCACCCTGGTGGGAAGGGCGGACGTCGTGGAGAATCGAACCCCGTACATGTGGTTTCCAGACACGCGGTGGTCGACGCAGAAGTGTTGACCACTACGCTATCGGCACTCAGCGCTCAGGCTCAAACCCTCTGATGGCATTTGTTTCACTAGTCGATGCTGCAAAATAATGTATGTTCTCAGGCACAAATGGGATGGTTTTTGTGTTGGGAGCTCATTTTGACCCGCTCCATTCAACACTAATTAAACCTTTATTTCTTTCCCGTAAAGAGACCCCTGGAGCAGAACATTACGAGGCATATTGCTGTTCCTGGTCAAGGCCTGAAGGGTCATTCTATCCCACTGCGATGTGTTTTCCGGCCGTCATTTGGGCGACACGGGGAGGAGTCCCCTGGCCGATCCGGAGGTCCTTGGCGGAATATATCATATCACATTGGTCCGCTCCCTGATGTGGCATGGCTTCTGACCCGCACAGTTGACCCCTGTTCGATGAATGAACCGGCGTTAACGCCACAACATCCCTGCTCGCTGCAAGTGGTCAAATAGTTGGCACATAGACTCCCAATGGGCTTAACGGGCCCATGTTAGAGTGGGTTTGGATAGCCCACTGCTCAATACTGCGGGCCCTGACTGGCACAGGACTCTTCTTTTACCTCAACGTGAGCGCTCATCATAAGCTCTCACGTGTCCTTCAGTTGTCAGAGGACCCCGACCAACGCAAGAGGCCCTCTGCCACTCGGGCCCCCGTCCCCGGTGAGCGTATCTTCCCCCGATCCAATCAAGGCCCCTTGTTGACACAATGCCCTATCAGGCACTGTTGGCCCCTGAACGGAGCTCGACCAATGTAAATCGCGGGCCCGGCCTTGTCCCTGCTTGGGCAATGGGCCCCTAAAGCTCAGACCAACACGGAGCCGACTGTTCGTTGTTCGTGATCTCTGGGCGAAGTAAAGAAACGCTCGGTCTCAGGGGTCCCTATGGGTGCAAGAGATAATCTTACTGGCGTTTGAGATTATGGCCCTATGGGTGGGGATTCTTAATGTGACCTACAGTGAGCCCTTCAGACCCTCAGCCATCTCATTGGGCCCTCAGTCATTGGTCTCGATAGGCCCTCCGGCCCCTCTTCGGGCCTCTCAAACGCCGCCCCGACTCGGGGCCACTTGCCATCACAGTATCCCTGTTGGACGCCGTGACCGCTAACCGACACAGGAGCACCTCGTTGTGTCAGAGGCCCCGAACATTGCAAATCGCGGACCCTGGCTTCGCTTCTGCTTGGATAAGGGGTCTCAAGGGCTCAGACGGACATGGAGCCGGCTGTTCGGTGTGCGGGGTCTCTGACCGAGTTAGACACCCCGCACTGTCTCAGGGGTTCGTCAAACGGTGCAAGGGGACCTCCGAATGATATTGCAGCTCACGACCCTACGGGCCGCGATTTTTTAACGTAACCTACAGCCAGTCTTTCGGGCCCTTATTCTCTCCAAGTGGGCTTTTGATCGTCGGCTCCGGTGGGCCGCCCGGGATCCCCTTCAGGCCTCATCGAACGCTTCCCTTGGTCGAGCACAGGGCCCTATGTTAGGCGCTATGGGTCCTTGCAGATACAAAGCCCCCACCAGTGTAAACCACTGGCTGCGGCTTTATAGCTGATTGGGAAGTGGGTCCTCTGTTCCATATCGACACAGGGCCGACTGTGTGGTGCGGTGATACATGGCAGATGTATAGGCTCGTATTGTCTCAGAGGTTCTCCGATCGGCGTTAAGGGTCCTCTGACCGTTATTTCGAAGTCCATCTTCGCAGGCTGGGGCCCCGGAACAAGACTTCGACCAGCCCTTCATATCCTTAGACCCTCCAATCGGGCCCTTGCTCGTCGGACCCGGTGGGCCCTCTAGGCCTTTTGGGCCTCCTCGAACACTACCTCTGGCCGACTCGGGCTCCTGGACAACACAGAACCGCTTGTAGGTGCTGTGGGGCCCCAAACAATTTAAATTGCTGGTTCCGACTATGTCCCTGCTTGGGAAATGAGCCCTTAGGTCCATGCCGCCACAGAGCCAACTGTGCGTCACTGGTGGTGTCTGACCGAAATATAGGCCGTTATCGACGCAGTGGGTCCCTGATCAGTGCGCAGGGCTCTTTGCCTTTCATTGGAGTGCCCGGTCCTGTGGGCCGTAGCCCATAAATGAGACCTCCAGCTGGCTTTTCGGGCCCCACGGGAGCTTAATTTAGCACTTTATTGTAGGCTCCGAGGCCCTCGAAGGGCCCCTCGGAAGCTAAGGGGAGGGGACACCTGCTCCCTGCGTCCCTCCCCTGCCTGCGCTACTGCTAGCAGGTACCTAACGGCGAGCGGATTGTCTAGCGGTGAGAAGGTGCTGACGGATTATAAACAGACCTATATCGATGTGAGCGAATGGCTGACCAATGGCCAAATGACAAAAATGGCCGACTGAAGTCTTAGTTACAAAACAAATGGCTTGTCCATGACAGAGTCACATAACCAGTGGCTTGCCGGTGACTTAATCATCGAACAAATGACTGGCCAATGGCGGAATAATAGAACAAAGTGGCTGAACAAAGGATGGGTCACGGAGCAAATGGATTACCAATGGCTGAGTTACAGAGAACATGGCTGCATGTCTACCCCTGTTGTTAATCAATGCGATGCAAAGCGTGGAATTAAGCACATCTGTAATGATGAAAAATGCTTGGCTTGCAAGTGTGTAGTGTGCTGTTCAATTAGGAGCTTGATAATTTTGCTTGGATATTATTGTACGTCCGGATGAAGCGAGGAATACGGAAGGTCCTTATGTTCTACCGCTTCTCTAACCACGTGGCGCCTCCTGGAGTAAACTTGAGTGGCAGTCAATACTAAAAAAATCATTTCGTATTTTAGAGGCCAAAAGGTCAAGACCTCAAACAACACGCTCAACCTATCTGCAAGTGCCCTTTCAGAGACATATTGCAATTTTTCATGGTTCCAAAGGATGCTTCACTTTGAATCCCAACTCTTAAAGTTCAAATAAAGATAGTAGAAATGTGCTCGGCACGCGCCTCCGTTGTTGCGTACTGTTGGGAACAATCATACATTTAGATTGGTACCTCCAACACAATTTGTGTGGTCTGAGAGATGGAGTTAAGGCTTTCTTCTCTCCGCCCACAGCAGCTGAACGCATCATTTGCAAACAGGTTTGGGTCATTCTGGAAGTTGGAAAAGTGCGTTCGTGTTTAGAGATCGTCGTGGAGGCGTTTTGTTAATCCGATGAGCACGGACTATAAAAAGCAAAGGTGAAAAAATGTTCGTTATATCAAACAATATGACAAACTATGCCTTTTATATATGTGACAACCTTTTAAGAAGAGACATTGGAAAGCAAATAGCTTGGAGATACTAATTAAATAACTTGTAGTTGTTAACTATTAGTAATCAATAAGTTTTGACACTGCTACCCTTATTCTTCTTAGAATAAACAGGAGAAAGGAGAGACAAATGTGCTGATTTTCGGTTACATTCCTTTATTGAAACAAATATCAGTAGCCTGATATCAGTAGCTATCAGATAGTAATATTATTAGTCACTACTGATATTCGTTTCCGTTCAGGCATGGAGCCGTAAAACAACACATTTTTATCTCATTTTTACTTACTAGTCTACGGGGAACTAGGCTAACAGTACAATCTGATCTATATCAATAAATTTCTTCGCAAGTGCTCTTAACAACATATAACATACCCTGTAGTCATTCGCCGACAGCATCCAATGGTGAACATTTCTGGTATGCTATTGGACATTGATGTAGCCATCACCGTTGCTGTTTGTTTGCACCACTGCGTCTGTAGCCCATATATCATCCTCGTTGAATGACATTAACATCTGCGACAGGATATGCAGCGTGTCCCGACATAACAACAGTAATAGTCAACAACTGGGCAGAAGACAAGAACGGGACTATGAGAGAGGTGCCTGCAGCCGGCGTTACCAGTAAGAGATTTGCCGCGCCGCTCCCTGGACGCAGGCAGCCATCTGTGCCCAATTCTCTCAGCAATCGAGGACACTCAGGCCCAGATGTGCTGTCCGTGTGTGTGTGTGTGTGCATGTATGTGTCACTGGGGCACGATGCACTCAGCTGCTGAGGCTATGTGGTATCGCCTGCCGCCTCCCACCCTGGCAGGAAGGGCCGGCACCGCGAGGAATCGAACCCCGTACATCCGGTTTCCCAGACGCGCAGTGGTTAACGCTGATGCGTTAACCACTCACTACCGGTACCCCTCAGGTCTTTTGTGTAAAGCGGTGTTCAGTCAGTGAACGAGTCTGGGACGGTCCTTGCGCGCTTAAGATCTGCTCCTCAGGTTGCGTCGGTAACTGTTAGCCGTGATTTGGCTACATTGGTCAGTTGTCCCATATGATGGGATCTCTGTCACTGTCAGTGCAGTTGGGAAGCGTCTAAATGTACTTCTGCGCGCACCAGACCTTGCAATCAATGACACGCAAATCTGCCTCACATTCAGGCATCACGTTCGTGGGCAATGAAACAAATGACCAGTTCGACGCCAGCCAGTATGTGGATGCGACGCTGAACGAGACAAGCCATCAGATCGTGTTCAGCACGCTGCCCAGTATGGACGGCGTGAGAGACTACAATCATTCGGTAAGGCAACGCGACACCACCTCTCGTTGTTCGGGCTGACTTGTCTTGGATTAGGGCGCATAGCCTCCCGGGCTCCAGCGTAATTGCAACGAGCGTTCGGGCTGAACCGTGGCCATCCGCGTCAGTGATCGTCATGAGTCCGCTGCATTGGAAACAATTTTGGATCTGTTGTGGAAATTGAAAATGTTCAGCGCTACCAACTTCCCAAAACTTTGATTCATCCGAATTTTAGCCGTTATGTTTTCACCACTCACGTACGAGTGCGTCTGTTTTGCGCGAAATGAACAGCTTATACAATGCACATCGCTTTTCAGGCAAACATCAATTCTATGACCGGGACGTGCCAGATGGAGTGCGGCAAAGACGTAAGTATCTTCTCGAATGCGGGAGACACGATCCTGGTTGGAATGTGGATACACACACATAACACTTCTGTCTATCATGGGTGCTGTCGTTCACCGTAAGGGTTATATTAAGCCTGTCAAATCTGACTACCTGTCCTGTTGGAGAAAAGACTGAAAAACTAAAAATCTACAATTATTGATCGGTTCAGCATCAAAGAATACCCATGAGTACCTATGAAAGTTGTGATAAAGCACTTTGTCAGCGCCATAATACGTCGATTAGTTACGAAAAATATAAAACTAGGATATTAGCAGCTCCCAGCCATTGCACGCCGTCATGGAGCGTCCCCCGAAGGTTGGGCGGCAATATTCTGCAGAAATTCGCATTTGCACTGAGAAAAATGTTTCCAAGTCGTTCCAGGTCCAGGCAGTCATAGGGAACGTTAACTATCTACGAGATCCCATAGTCCTCCCAGGAACTGCAGCTCCTGGGACCCTTATGACTTTGGGAATATACAAGAGACAATTTAAGTAAACTTTTGACGCTTCCTATCCCTTAATATCGACGCTTCCTATCCCTATTGCTTAACTCTGCGGGGTCGCGCCATCCCTTTGACTATGTAGCTTCTGGAGCCATGTCTCACCCTTCAAAAGTCGGACTGCCCCAAGAGGCCCACATAGCTTGCATGTGTCTCGCCCTGCCATGTGTGTCTTACGCTGTCATGTTTGAGTTTTACGCTGCCGTGTGCGAGCCTTACGCTGTCATGTTTGAGTTTTACGCTGCCGTGTGCGAGCCTTACGCTGTCATGTTTGAGTTTTACGCTGCCGTGTGCGAGCCTTACGCTGTCATGTTTGAGTTTTACGCTGCCGTGTGCGAGCCTTACGCTGTCATGTTTGAGTTTTACGCTGCCGTGTGCGAGCCTTACGCTGTCATGTTTGAGTTTTACGCTGCCGTGTGCGAGCCTTACGCTGTCATGTTTGAGTTTTACGCTGCCGTGTGCGAGCCTTACGCTGTCATGTTTGAGTTTTACGCTGCCGTGTGCGAGCCTTACGCTGTCATGTGGGGGTCTTACGCTATCGCGTAAGGGTCTCAGTAAAGTCATGAGAGAAACGTGGTACATAGGTTCAAAATCTCAGTGGAAAAAGCTCAGAAGTCCAAAGAGTCCAGCTACCCTCGACGGACATTTAGAATGGCTCCAATGAGGCATCTTAACCCACCACGAGGGGGCCTCACTTATTGCCCTTGGCATAAGGAGAACTACACGGGCTTTATCTGTGGACCGGCAGCTGCGCCGGCGGAGTTGGGGCTGGGGGGGGGGGGGGGGAGGGGCGGTGGCGTTGCATTGGTTCAAACGGGGCTGGCAAGTGGGCAGGCTTCGATGGCCAGGAGCGCCCCGAAGGACCAGATGGGAACTGAGGAGCATCACAGAGGGCCAGGTAGGAACTGAAGAGCGCTTTGAGGGACCAGTTGGGAACTGAGGAGCGACACGAAGGACCAGGTGGGAACTGAGGAGCGCCACAGGGGGCCAGGTAGGAACTGAGGAGCGCTGTGAAGGACCAGGTGGGAACTGAGGAGTGTTACGGAGGACCAGGTGGGAACTGAGGAGCGTTACAGGGGGCCAGGTAGGAACTGAGGAGCGTCACAGAGGGTCAGGTAGGAACTGAGGAGCGCAGTGAAGGACCGGGTGGGAACTGAGGAGTGTTACGGAAGACCAGGTGGGAACTGAGGAGCGCCACAGGGGGCCAGGTAGGAACTGAGGAGCGCTGTGAAGGACCAGGTGGGAAGTAAGGGGCGACACAGAATGCCAGGTGGTAACTGAGGAGCGTCATAGAGGGTCAGGTGGTAACTGAGAAGCGCCGCAGATGGCCGGGTCATGACCTGCCGTCATGTCCGGTCGGGTGGGGTCAGGGACCGCGCTGGCGCTGTTCGGACGGGTCGTCGGGCGTGCGTAGTGAGGTCGGTCCCTTCCCAGGATCACTAGAGCTCAGGTGCCACCTCACATGACTCGGGTTTACTTCTTTTCGATTTGCTTCTTTTTTCGGATTTGCTTTTTTGACGCAACTGATTCCGTACCATGCCCACGGGCTGGACAAACTGGCAAGTGAGACGGCTGGCTGCATCGGGCGAAGTTACGGCGCTGGTAACGGCGACCTGAGAGGCGTGGAATTGAGGATTGAGCTCATTCAGATGATAACCGAAAGACTCAAATTCCTTAAACATTGAAACTTCACATGAGACTTTAGTTTACTCCACGCTGCTCGTGAGATAGATTCCCAGGGCCGACGGTGCTGTTGTGTTTTCTGACAGACCGAAGATGGAAGGCAGCCATGTCACTGCGACTAAGAACCTGGAAAATTAGCACGGCCCTAGTAAGATATGCTTTTATGGAATGAAACGTACGCCTTTTGCCTTAACTTGTGGGCGTGATATAACATTTCGCTACACTTTATGAAATGAAGGGAAAAGTGGGCAACGATTTACGGGTACCGCTTCGTTTTTATTTCATTAGTGAGTTCGAATGAATTTCATAAACTGGCCAAGTTGAGAACAGTGTGGTTTTACAACGCACACATCACGACTCGCGCTAAGCATAACCGGCGCTCTGGAACATCAGGACTTAGTTATCAGTCAACTGGAGGGGAAAAGGAAGTTAGACGTCAAGTTACCATTTGCTTCAGTTACTATAATCTACAACGTTCCTAGCAGCGCCACAGCGACCACGAGTGCGCGGGGTTTAGCAAACCATTACGCTGCAAAAACCGAAAGCTGTGAGAAGGACAAAAAATGTCGGGAGTCCAAATGCCCCGCCACTACATTTTGCTTGGGCATCCACCTGTACAGTCGAGATATTTGCACTTTGCTGTTTACAACATGCGACTTGCTCATATTATCCATCTTCATTCAGTTATGTCGCAGTAGTCAAGCAGGTGATAATTGTGATGATTTGACATCGTTTTTCTTTGAGCATTCAGATGCATAGACGTCGTCATGTATGCGAGATATTCTGTTAAGTTTAAGCTCTTACATCGATGACGCCATAAATGAAAAATGCTCGCCCCCTTCTTAATCCATCATACTTCGCAGCTTTTGATTATGCTGTCGGGTCGTGCCCAGTATCTTCAGAGGCCACAATTCGGCTTAATCTTATGTTCAGGAAACGGATTTTCCTTGAAATTCCTGCCAATGCTAATAACGCTCGATGAGATCCCGGACTAGAACTGACCAGTTTTGATGGATGATGCATCAAACGAGGGCTTGGGCTCTGAATGGTAGCATTTTACGACCAGGAATTGTAATATTCAGACGAGCGATTTGTTTGGATTTTGGGATTTTGCTTTGGCTGCTTTCGTATTACAGATCGGCAGCGATGCTTGTATTTCTGCCTATCCTGTTAAAGACCGCAGCGTGGACGTTTGTTTCCTAATTGCAGACCGGCAGCTTCGAGTTTACCGCCTACGTCAAAGACGCCAACACAGCAACACCTAAGTTCAGCCTTCCGACGTATACCGTGCATGTACCGGAGATGTTTCCAAAGGGCCTGGCTCTGCCGAACTCAGCAATATTCGCCTCAGGTACGGATGCTACTGTGAGCCCTCACACCGACCATCCGCAGCAACCGCCGTCGCCAACATAGTGGAATTTATGCCGTGGGATCAACTCCCGTCCATGACAATTCTTTTCGCCAGAACGGTGGCCATCAACGTTGTGAGTTACTGGAACAGCCTGAGTGTTATAGATTTGGTTTTAAGTGAAGCATATTATTGTGTAACATCGATGTGATCTTTGGCATGACAGTTTTAAGCATGTTACGTGAGTTTTTTAACTTTTCAGTTAGGGGGTTTGATTGTTCAGCAGCTCAGTAATTCATTATAAAAAACATTTGGTCATATTCGGAACAAAGTGTACAAAAAATCCATGGCAACGAGATACTGATTTTAAATAGAAGGTATTGTATGGCCGGCTAATTATGGATATGCACCAATTGTTCAACCATTAGCCAGTCTCTTAAAAAATAATATTGCAGGTTATTGTCGTTAATCGAAGATGATGCTCAGATAACCGTATAATTCAATTTCTCCTAGCAAAATATACATTTTTCAAGCACAAATTCGACGTTTAAGAAAAATGTTCAGAAAATTTGCAACCTATGACACAAATAGGCACCAACAATCTTGCCAGAGCTTGTACATGCTAGGTATTCGTAAGCGTAAGTGGTTTTCTTTGGTGAGACGCATGCCCAGGCATTAAGTAGCAGTTGCAAAGAAACAAGGGAGTAGAGCACCACATGTGTGGGGAAGAAATAGATATGTATATACACACACACATATATATATATATATATATATATATATATATATATATGCATATGTACACAAGAATAGATAGTGATTGGTTCAACCATTCAGGCAAGAAACCTTGTTTGGGGCATCCCAAAACGAATAGTTGTAGTGATGCTGCCTGAGCAAGCAGATTCTTCGCAAAAAAATGCTTGAATTCATTTAAATCGAGCAAAGATGTGGGCGGAGTTTACAAAAGTTGCTATGCTGTATGCTTGATTCATGCAAGTTGCAACACAGAAAGACTTTCAAAATGAGATATAGCAAGTGCCATTGTCTACCTGCCTTGGGTGACAGAACCATAGTGTGCAAAAGTGTTTATCAACTAGCGTGACATAATGAAGGGTTTCACCTTCAAACATTTTCTTCAGCTTCATAACACAGCCGAGCACGAGTTATGCATCGTTAGACAAGTCAGTCCACATGCAAATCATATACCTCACAAAATTACGCAAAATTACAACTTGTAATATTGGTGTCGCATGGAGCAATTACCATACATTACGTAATTGCATTACATTTGCTTAACTTACAGGATATATGTATATACAAATATATATATATATATATATATATATATATACGTATATATATGTGTGTGTGTGTGTGTGTGTGTGTGTGTGTCTCTGTGTGTGTGTTACACAAACATCTTCATGTATTATGATCATGGACATTGTGTACACTGCCAGTATGTGCCTATATTAAAAAGGAAATGGTGACTTACGGCTACCAGAGAGATCGTTTCAAAGGGATGAAGAACTCTTTAACACGCGCTGGAAGTTGTTTCAGCAAAGCCCGCTGATCGACCCATATCTAACATGTGTTGCCCGAGCACTTCGTCCACCCCTCTTTTATCTGAGCTGTTGTTCCTAGCTTCACACAGCTTATTTCCTCAGATGAAAATGTTTCGCGTGCGTGTTCGTGTACGGCAAAAATAGATAGAATATGCATAAAACGCTTACGATCGCCTTGGAAGCCAGCGCAATCGGCTGATAACAGTTCTGAAGCTATGAAGACACAGGTCCTGGCCAATCCTTTCCTGCTGAGTCGCATGTTGGAATTGCGGAAGCGACCCCAAGGCTGCGCGATCAGGTTAGCAACAAAAAAAACTTCTGAGGATTCCTTTTCCTGCGTTCCTGTGTTCTCATCTGAGCTGGGCGACATTCGCAGACGCGGACGCCGGGTCTCAGAACCACGCCGTCTCGTTCTCTTGCGTTCCTGTGTTCTCATTTGAGCTGGGCGACATTTGCAGACGCGGACGCCGGGCCTCAGAACTACGCCGTCTCGTTCTCTTGCGTTCCTGTGTTCTCATCTGAGCTTGGCGACATTTGCAGACGCGGACGCCGAATTTTATAACTACGCCGTCTCGCTCACCTGCGTTCCTGTGTTCTCATCTGAGCTGGGCGACATTTGCAGACGCGGATGCCGAATTTTATAACTACGCCGTCTCGTTCTCCTGCGTTCCTGTTCTCTCATCTGAGCTGGGCGACATTTGCAGACGCGGACGCCGAATTTTGTAACTACGCCGTCTCGTTCACCTACGTTCCTGTGTTGTCATCTGAGCTGGGCGACATTTGCAGACGCGGACGCCGAATTTTATAACTACGCCGTCTCGCTCACCTGCGTTCCTGTGTTGTCATCTGAGCTGGGCGACATTCGCAGACGCCGACGCCGAACCTCAGAACTACGCCGTCTCGTTTTCCTTGGACGAGGACGACACTTTTGGCCTCTCAGATCCCGTCAAAACGTCGGATGTCGAGCCAACTTACACCGCCCAGCTGGTTCTGAAAAAGCCGCTGGACTGGAGCAAAATCAAGTTGTACAATCTGGCCGTCACGGCAAAGGTAAGGCCCATCGGTCTTTTTTCGCGGTGATAGGAACATCATACACGCATCGAAAAAGCTTGCTCTTCATGCAAAGTGACATAATCTTTGGCGGTTCGTTATCTATGGCATCTTTCCTAGATGTTGTGTCCCAGACATTTCGCTCTAGAGTGACAACTAACGCTTACGTCTGTCATCAAATGCGTTCCCAAGAGGTTTCTAGGCGGCTTGTTATGACTTTTGTCACTCTGAAATGCATTTCTTTTGTTTTGTTTGCTTTTAAGCTGTTGCCAGACCTGACGTAGTCAAGCTAGATCAAGCTTTGATATTTGTAACAGGATTCGAATTTCTAAAGCTCACGCGATTTCAACCTTGACGGCCTATATTTTGCAGCTTTGAAAACCTTCCTTACCCTAATTTCCACAGCGATGCTGCTGGTTTTGTTTGTAGTTTAGCTGGACGGGCCAGCGCAACAACAACATTTAGTCCTTTGACCTGATTTGACATAATACAGGTCATACCTTGCAACGCCCAGTAGTGCCTGCCTGAAAAGCGTTGTTGAGAATGTAGTTTAACGCCCTCTTCTGTTTGCTATAGCTTGCGTAGTTTATGAGATAATGCAAGTGGTCTACTAAGTGTTGCTTAATAGACCCCTTTTGGCTCTAATGACCTGTTCCTTTTCACATGTGACCAAATCACATTTAACATTGTTCCGCCACTGTCTGATGGAGTTCGGTAAGAGCTATCCGATGCCTTTTTCCACGTGGCTTTTTCTCCGGCTTATTTAACTCGCACGGCGAATATGAAAAAAACACAGTGGGGGGGGGGGGGGGGGAGAGGTTTACATGTTATCTCTGTGAGCGAACACAGGCCTTTGGGCGTTCTAATGATGCCAAAATGAGAAGAATAACAGAATACTGGTCAGTCGACGTTTGAAAGCTTTGGTGCCGGCTCTGGCCCTGACACCGACTCCGGCTCTGACGCCGGATCTGGCCCTGGTGCCGGCTATGGCTCTGGCTCTGGCGCCGACTCTGGCCCTGACCCTGGCGCCGGCTCTGGCTCTGATGCCTGCCCTGGCCCCGGTGCCGGCTTTTGGCTCTGGCTCTGGCTCTGAAGCCGACTCTGGCCCTGGTGCCGGCTCTGGTTCTGGGTCTGGCTCTGGCGCCGGCTCTGGCTCTACGCGCACGGACTTTTCTAAGAGGAGCCCGAGGTGTTGGATAGGCCCAACACTGTGACAAGTTAATATTTGCGACGTATGCTAAGCTGCCGTAAACGTCATGCTGTGTTAAGACTTTGGCACCCTTTTACATAAGGTGCTCGGCTCGCTTTGAGCTAGTCCGCGCGCCGTCTCAAAGAGAGAGACTGGTGGCAGCTGCTGCCAATAGCTGGCATTTCCCCTGTCAAATCTCCGGAGTGCTGGTATCTGTTGAGACTGTGGCTCCTTGTTTCGGAAACAAGTTTGAAAATCTGGTAGAACCAGCAGGCAGTTTTGAATTACTGCTCATATTTGTCTCGACTACGTCTTGCAGCCGAAATATCAGCGCATCTCTTTTTTCTTCTCAGTTATTCAACGAAAAAGGTCATACGTACTGTCCTTGTTTATGTACAAGGCTCCTCGCAGTTACGCTGAACAAATTACATGCATATTTCATTTAGATGAAACAGTTATCTTAGACTTGTCGGGGTACTTCTATCTTTGGTGGAACAGAGTCTTTAAAATTGTTAATAAAATTCAAAGGCTATTGCAAAACAATAACAAGGCCTTGAGAGCTCTCAAAAGCTTACGCGGGGATGGGGGTCAAATCACCGCGATGAAAAAAACAACAAAAAACGGTCGGAAATCATGCTATGCTGTCTTACTCAGGAAGAGACACATACGCTGCTCCACGTCTGTTAACACCGTGTTTTGTCCCTCAGGATCCCGATGGCCGCTCTGACACGGCCACCATCAAGGTGGTGGTTGACGACATCGATAACAAGCAGCCTGACTTTGATGAGATGAGCTACAGCACTGAGGTGGTCGACCCGGAGGTTGGTTTAGTTGGTTGGTTGGTTGATATGACATGTGCGACCAATGCGGATGACAATCAAAGTGTACACAGATGATGTACACAGTGTACCTGATTGATGTACACAATCAGGTGTACACACATGAAGTAAAGGCCTTTATCTGTCACTATCTGGACATTTGTGGCAGACCTGAAACCGTTTTTTCTGTTGGTTAATGCCAGTGTGCATCATTTCGTCATTGGGCCTTAACGACGCGTTCAGCTACCCGCGTTTTACGGTTGTTTTTTATGGAGCAAACCGTACCTAACCGATCCTACGAACATCAGCGGTCTGGAAGTGCGTCGATAACTATCATGCACGCATCTTAAAAAGTGTGTACGAGGGCAGATGACCAGTGTTTACAAGTGCCGAATTAGGTGGCCTGTAAAGAATACAACGTGGTTTTCACGGCATTAGCCGTGAAGCGTGATGTTAGAACAAGAGTGTGTTCTCTATGATAAACATGGGGGAAGAATCATTGGTCAAGAAGGCAAAACAAGGACCGAGGGTGATAAGATGGGTTAATTACTCAAAAACGGACAGTCTCAGCGTGCCAGGCTCAACTGAACGATTCGTCTAATGACAAGGATGTAGGACCGAGTGAATGACAAGGATGTAGGATCGAGCGAATGACAAGGATGTAGGATCAAGTGAGTGACAAGGATGTAGGATCGAGCGAATGACAAGGATGTAGGATCGAGCGAATGACAAGGATGTAGGATCGAGCGAATGACAAGGATGTAGGATCGAGTGAGTGACAGACTATCCGCTCGCGCCCGGGGGTCTGAGACAATGGCGCCCAGCCAAGGGGAGTTCTTCTCCACTGGGATCTCCGACCTTCGAACGCCGTGTGAGAAACCATTTAAAGGTTAAGAAACCATTTAAAGGTTTCTAAAGATAAAACCAGTTAAGTATAAAAGTTCGAAGGTAAAGAAACCATTTAAGACACCATTTAAAGGGCTTGCCAGACCATGAAAGAGCACGACTGACCATGTGACCAGTGCAACATTTTGTGTTTTGCTGTGCTCAGAAATAATATATTACAGATCTTCAGGTACTCGAGATCACATAGCTGCTGTTTACATTATGCATAGTCCCTTCGACTCTAGGCAATGTATTTGTAACAAGCTGACAACATGTACGTTGGTACATGAAATTATGCGTCATCAGCTTCAAAAATACGATAAGGAGGATACAAACATCGCACTCGTTCATATAGCCTCTCCCCTACTGGAAAGATAGGCCTTGATCTTTTATGACTTAATGTGACCTTGCATGTCCTCGCGTGACACATTGTGACCTTGTTATGCATAAAAAGGATGTAACAAAATGTTTTCTGTAGATAATTCGAATTCTGCATCCAAAATTACGAATCTGCATATTTTGAGCTCAGCACTGCTTTTCAGAAAGTACCCATAGATAGGTCATGACCAGGGACAAAGTCACGTGCGCCGCGGTCATATGATGGCTGGCATGTAAGTTAATAGTGTTTTCCTCATAAACTAGAACTGAAGCTACTCAAGCATCCGTGCAAACTTGCATTATTTACCAAAAAGCCAGAAATTGGCCCGACTTAAGATCACTGACTTCGGTTTTTCCGAAAAATCATAAAAAGATTAACTCTGGGCACTTAACGTCCTATTACCATAGCATGCTTGAGAAATGACAAATAAACTACACAAAAGTTACGTGTGGTCAAAGCTCACTGATCTTAGGACATAAAAACTCGATATTTGCGCAACGACGCGAAATGAAAAGATTGCATGGCACTGGAATTAAATGTCGCTGCGAGCGTTCGTTTTTGACCTGTGCCCGAAAAGCCCTAGGGGAAAGTCAACTCCCTCGGCGAGGCGCGGGCTGATACCATAGAAGAATGGGAGTACACTCGATACCATATATATATATATATATATATATATATATATATATATATATATATATATATATATTGATATATACATTATATGATGTACTAGGTACTTAGACTCAACTAGAATCGCTAATAGTCAGAGTAATCGCTAATAATAGTAATATTCAAATCCTGACATTTCGCAAGCCATGCAGCGATCAAGGCCGATAAACGTATAATGGTCTTGTTATACATATGTGGCACTCGTGAACACGATATTTAGATTTATGTACCGCCGTCAACTGGCTCTCAATCGATGCTGTCCAATGTACAATGACGTAATCATATAATGATGCATCGACGAGCATATTTCCTAAAGAGAGAATTTGTAGTGTCTAGAGCAGTTTTTTCTGTTTAGAAGCGTGCCAACAGTTACAAGTGAGCCTGTTTCATCATATCTTTTCGTTTTTACGATAACTTCATGTGTGAAACATATCCCAGTTGCCCCAGTTTTGCTAGTTAAGTACTTTAGAGTTTTTTGGTAGGTGATTATTTAAGCAAAATCATCTTAAAAGGTTGACTGCTTTGCGCAACAGGTCTTTCCAACATCTCAGCGCGTGTCTTTGTTGCAGGCGCTGGGGCCGTTGAACGTCACCATTCACGCGACCGATCCGGACGCGCCCCACACTCTGAAATACACAATGCAAGATCCTTCGGGAGGTAGGCTTCTCTTGGAAACCCTTTCCTGACCGTTTCAAGGTTATTTCTTCAAGATGAACTAGATCACCTTCAGTGCATGCCAACGTAGAGCCGAGGATACGCCGAGGATTAGGCGAAAGAAGCGGGATAGGGTTAGTGCACATCACCATGAATCACCGGCTGCGTCATGTTCGATTGTTTCAGCCGGCTGGGACAGCTTCTTCACGCTGAATCCGGATACCGCCGAGTTCAGCCTAACCCAGTCGCTTAAGCATCACCTCAATAGCACCGCCACGGCCATCACATTTCTGCTGCAGGTAACGGAATGTAGTCAGCGCCCAGCTCCAGCCAATCCACCTACGAATGCACGTGTGCCGCAACTTTGTCGTGCAAACATATCGCGTCTAGAAAGACAGAATCTCCCCTGCGATGTTGCTTCGTAAGGCGCTGGGCGGTGATGCGATTCGGTAAGAGCGAGCCGGCGGTGGATGCGCCGTGGCAGCGGTGTGCTGGCGACGACCCTCAGGATGTGACCCGGCGACGACCCTCAGGATGTGACCCGGCGACGACCCTCAGGATGTGACCCGGCGACGACCCTCAGGATGTGACCTGTGCACGTTGTGGCCGATTGGGTGGAGCAGTCGAAATGCTCCGCGGGTATTGCTCTTGCTGGAGACGCTTCCATGCTAGCAATATTAGACGGCGGCCTAAGCGTTGCCAAATTCGAAATGTACAATAGCTAGAAGAGACAGCAGCGAAACTGATAGTTTGTCGTCAGGTTGGTGAGAGTAGTCGTTAAATTTCACTACGGCACTGTTTATATTTCGTCACCGTGCACGGGTTTATCAGTTTAGGTCTGCGAATTTAAGCCCACGTAAATTCATCAAGAATCGCTGACCTTTAACGCCAACTAAGTACAGCACGACGATAAAAAAGTTTCCGGAATATAATAATCGTAATTTAGAGAGATGTGATGGCGTTGCATCGCCCTGGCTCCGGCTTTCCCAACTTTTCTTCTATCTGGACTTGGTTCCAAAGAGCTTCCTGTTTTCATAATCTTAGCGTGAAATGTCTGTCACGCTGCTAAGGCCTGTCACCGCCGTCACGCTGCTAAGGCCTGTCACCGTTTGGTGCACGTGAGAGGCCGAAGCAGAAGGTCACAGTATGATTCACAACGTAGCGTGTTCTGTTATGCATTGTCTGTGCTGCTGCGCCCTGTCTGTTCTGCTGTGTCTTGATGTTCTGCTGTGCCTTGTCTGTTCTGCTGTGCCTTGTCTGCCCTGCTGTGTCTTGTCTGCCCTGCTGTGTCTTGTCTGTTGCCTTCCTGATGCGAGCCACGGAGCCGCATACACACCGTTGGCTATCGTTAGGAGGTGGACGTCTCGCAGTGTAGATATTCTTTGAAATGTGGCGTGCGCAAATCGTGGATACCAAAACCGATTAGTGAGTGACTGACGGACGGTGCCTTCGGCAGGCGACCGAGGTGGGGGGGGAAGGCTTCTACAATCGGGCGGCGTTGGTGGTGCGGCTGCCGGCTCAGGAGATAACAACGACACCAGGTACGCCGGACACCGAGCGGTTATAACAACGACGCCAGGTACGCCGGACAGCGAGCGGTTATAACAACGATGACAGGTACGCCGGACAGCGAGCGGTTATAACAACGACGCCAGGTACGCCGGACAGCGAGCGGTTATAACAACGATGACAGGTACGCCGGACAGCGAGCGGTTATAACAACGATGACAGGTACGCCGGACACCGAGCGGTTATAACAACGACGCCAGGTACGCCGGACAGCGAGCGGTTATAACAACGATGACAGGTACGCCGGACGGCGAGCGGTTATAACAACGACGCCAGGTACGCCGGACAGCGAGCGGTTATAACAACGATGACAGGTACGCCGGACAGCGAGCGGTTATAACAACGATGACAGGTACGCCGGACACCGAGCGGTTATAACAACGACGCCAGGTACGCCGGACAGCGAGCGGTTATAACAACGATGACAGGTACGCCGGACAGCGAGCGATTATAACAACGACGCCAGGTACGCCGGACAGCGAGCGGTTATAACAACGATGACAGGTACGCCGGACAGCGAGCGGTTATAACAACGATGACAGGTACGCCGGACAGCGAGCGGTTATAACAACGACGCCAGGTACGCCGGACAGCGAGCGGTTATAACAACGATGACAGGTACGCCGGACAGCGAGCGGTTATAACAACGATGACAGGTACGCCGGACAGCGAGCGGTTATAACAACGATGACAGGTACGCTGGACACCGAGCCAGCATATAACAACGATGACAGGTACGCTGGACACCGAGCCAGCATATAACAACGATGACAGGTACGCTGGACACCGAGCGGTTATAACAACGATGACAGGTACGCTGGACACCGAGCGGTTATAACAACGATGACAGGTACGCCGGACAGCGAGCGGTTATAACAACGATGACAGGTACGCCGGACAGCGAGCGGTTATAACAACGATGACAGGTGCGCTGGACACCGAGCCAGGATGTAACAACGATGGCAGGTACGCTGGACACCGAGCCAGGATGTAACAACGATGACAGGTACGCTGGACACTGAGTCGCGTCGGCAGCGCAGGGTTAGAATGCAGGTTCGTGAAGGCGAAAATTCAGGCCCAATTTCTGTCGGAGGAAACGTTTGTTTGGCAACTTCCGCGGGGCTTGAATTGAGAGGGGCTGGTGATGTTGGTGATCTGCACTGTCAGTTGTGTCGATAAATGGTTGAAAACAAATTCTGGTTGCCGGTGAGCCGTGTTGCAATCTGTGTGGCAACCAACTCTTTAATATGGAAATGCCCGATATGGAAATGCCCGTAAATGCCCGTAGGTGTAACAATGTGTAAATTCGTGGCATTCAGACGATGCAATCGCACGAAGAGCATGTCATGCACAGTCGCTCAAAGGTTCTGACAACCGAACCAGTCGTGGCACTGATGTGGCGACTTGGCAAATAATTCGAAGCATCATGTGGGTCAGAAAATGCATCTGTTTGGTTTGGCGGTTAGGTCCCGTTAAGTGCATGAATGCGTACGTAGAAGCTCCGCGTGAGTCCGGTAACGTAACATTACACTCATTTTTCGGCGTCACACTCGTAAACAAGGCTATTCGGGCCAAAAGAGAACAACAGCTTTTGTTACTGAACTTTTCGGTCGCTTTTGAGCCCTGTTGAGACAACTCAGGCCACTATTTCAGAAATTATTTTGTGTTCACCTTTTCCTTTCGCCTTTTGTAGCCTGTTGAAGAATGCAGTTTTTTATAAGTGCATACCAAACGGCTTTCATGGATGGCTTTGTTCTCGGAGCACCCGCTAGGTATAGCTTGATGCGTGTGCCCTGAACCATCCACTCAAGTCGCGCCCTTCGGTTCAACGAATAAACTGGCTCCGCTTTTTCGCCAGACAGTAATGCGGGGATTTTACTTGGCGCACAATGTTCCGACGCGTCCGCCCCCGGCCTAGTTGGCTTTCGTTGGCCATTTGCCAGCTGCTCCTTCCATTTCAGTCGTGCCAAGCAATGCAGCTGACCAGGAACTTGTACAAGCTGTTATGATTTGATGACATGCTGTATTTAAGACGGCTTATAATGACAAGAGGCGTCTTTGGTGCTAACGTTAATAACATGAACTGCTAAGTTACAAATTAAGTTGCAATTTGATACACACACACACACACATATATATATATATATATATATATATATATATATATATATGTAGGTCAGAATAAACTGGTACGCTGGACAACAAATAAATATATACACATATATATGTATGTATGTACACACATATATACATATATATTGTTTGTATGTTTTAATGCCTTTTATGTGATATGATGACAGCTTGTAGGTAAGATGGTTTTTGAATTTATACCGTGAATATAACTTGCACAGGATAACAGACGCCTTTCATGTTTGTCGTCAGCAAATGGTGTGCTGCGGTCAGTTACGTATGCAATGCTACGAACTGGGCGGCATTACAAAACACCATTTATCCAACAATATTAAATGCCCCTTTCCAAAGATGAGGTCGATGTTAGTAGTGTCATGGTGGGAATTCGGTCACGCCTATTACATAGTCTTTGAGTACGCATCCCAAATATTTTGTTATGATTTTCAAAGCTTTTTACAAAACCTACTTTATAAATATTGCATATGTTATAAGACCACTCTTCCTTCGTGCGCTGCAGTAATTACTGTTAGTGATAATGAATTTTGACCTCTAGAGAAGACATAATTTTTTAAGGAAATATGTTTTCAAGTTTTAAGTTGTAAAACCCGCCTAAGACCTGTTGGCTAAAATGTGTGTGAGCTGCCCACAATGGTCAAACGTAAATGGTGAAAATAATTTGCGCTTAGCGTGTTCAAAAAAGATCCACTCTTTCCTGATGCGTTTTAAAAGAAATGCAGCGGATTAAAACACGATAAAGCCGGCGTGCAAGCAAGGAAACGTTTGAGGAAGTTTCGCCTTGCTCTCTTTTAGATGATTATTTCCGCTGTGCCACGAGCACAACCATACGAGTTGCATAACATGTGGCAGTTATACTACGTGTAAAGGATATTTTTCTACCTAGCGAGCCCTAAAAAATGCACCATACTTGTTCTGCTGAATAGCACTTTCTCAGCGTATCCAGCCGTACCATCGTAAACTCTAAAATTGCTATCGGTTATAAGCTTTACAGCCGAAAATGCAGCAAGGTGCTCAGATTTAAACCGACTGAATGATCGTTTCCCCGTGATGTAGGACCGACGACCCTAAGCATATGGTTGGCGGCCCCCTCCCAGTGATGAGCTGGCGGTGCACGTGGCGGTTGGCGAACTGGTTGAGCACGTGGCAAGTAGCGAGCTGCTGACACGTGTGGCAAGTGACGAGTTGGTAGCGCGTGTGCGTGGGTTTCTGGGGTCCTACTTGAAAAGCAGTTAACTCACCTCACTGGCAGCAAAAGCCAGTTCCCGTAGCGGATTCATCACTACTGCATGGTGAGTACTTTGAACCATTTTGAAGATCATTTAGTGCAGTTGGCAGCACTGCCCTTTTAAAACTTAAGACTATCTAATGTTTGGGCTTCGAGGCTGCGAACTTGTGCAGGCTACTCCGTAAAGACTATTTAAGGTCAACCAGACATTCATCACGCCACAGAAACTTCACGCGATGCTGTCACTTCATTGACCATCTCGCCATGGGTGTAAGAGCGAAGGGGGCGAGAGGTAAGGTTGCCATAGCCCCCTCCCACATTTTAAGGTAGGGGCCAGGAGTCTTAACTGGGCCCCCATCCCCACTTTTCTGGTCTGCCCCCCCCCCCGCCCCCCACAGCCCGTCCGCTACTACAGCAATTTTTTGGCATGGTCCTCAGGCAACGACTCGGCATCATAAAGAGTTTCCATGACGTTATCAAACGATGACGCATTTAGCAGCACAATACAAATAAAATAAATAATGACAACTGATAATAACAATTGACAAAATATAATATAATAATGACAAAAAAATAAAATAATATTGAGAAATAAAGTTTCGATGTGTAGAACAGTCTGCATATCCAAAAGCAAACCAATGGTTACAAGTGTCCGTTGTTTCGTCCAGATAATGCAAAACGCAGCCCCTTTAGAGACATAGCTGACATTTTTTCGGCAAAAAAAGTTTTTGCCCTTTAGTTATTTCAAAGTTCTGTGGCCGAAGAAGATACATCACCTGCCGTCAAAAACTTCATATGATACAAAATGGAGGCTTCTTGAGAACTCAATCAGGCGCATCTTATTACAGATATTATGCTATTGATCTATTGCTGTTTTCTACCCGTTCTCTGTTTGGTAGGATTTTAACTACGCGTCCAAATTTGTGCATTCAAATTTAGTATGCAATGATTGGTGCGAAGCTCATAAGAGCATGTACTGCAAAATTCACAACAGCCAAGTTACGGAAGTGCTTTAAAAACCGATAGCATCACTTTTGAAATGCTGACACAAGTTACCGCTTTACAGAGCCATCGACAACAACAGATATGACGTCATCGTCTGTAATCACGACGACTGACTCCACGCCCGTTACGTCACCATCAAGCACGGACACCACCGTGACGTCGTCAACAAGTACGGACACCACCGTGACGTCACCCATGACATCGCCGTCAAGCACGGACACGACCGTGACACCACCCTCTACCACGGATACAACGGAAACGTCAACAGTGACGTCAACCGTGACATCACCAGTGACGTCACCCTCAAGTACGGTCACCACTGTGACGTCAACGATCCCTACGGGGTCGTCAGTAAACCCACAGTCAGCTGTTACCAGTTCTCTATTTTCGCCCACTGTAATAGTTGCATTGCGGGGCACCGCAGTACAGTTGACTCTGGTCATTGGCAGTCGACGCCATACTTCCTGGCTCACACTTTGTCCACATTTCTGCCGTCCTATAACCACCACAGGTTTAAAACCGCATGGTTGTGTTTGGGTTTTCGGAATTCTGGAAACCGAACTTAGAACTTACGTTGTAATTTAAATGTCATTTGAATGTAGTAATCGGGAAATAACGATGCAAATTCAATGCCCTGCGTTCTCCATCTTTTGTGTGACCAATACAGTTTTGGTGAGTTCTCGCCAACTAAAAACTCTTCATGAAAGCTGTATAAGCTACTAAGCCCTTCACGACCCGGATATGATATGTGATAGCGGATGCGATCATGACTGTGCATTGCACATTGCAGCAAGGTAAAACGATTATACAAAAGATAAGTTGACTATTTGAGAGATGAAATAGAGGGCATATTACAACGTGGATTATGCAAGAGAAAACAGGGCCCGTTACCCCTGGAACCCAAACAAATGGACATTGTTGGTGCTTTGGACTCGCCATGTCCTATGGACTTGCGGACAATGGTACCCTGCTGCTTGGTGCACGCACACAAATCTCCCAATGCCACAGCGTGCAAATTGACTGAGTTTACACCTGAAATGCGTGGCAAGCGAACAGATCGATAGCACAGTTACGTCCGGTGCTACACACAAGCACTGTGCCCGGTTCAGATCCGTGTTCATTAGAGGCTCTTCGGAGGCAAGGGCGGGTTGGGTTTCTGATCTTGATCAGCTTGTCACGTATTTGGCTTTTTCACCGCTCTGCGTCAAGACCGCGTTAAAATGGGTTGGAAAACTTCCCCTGAACTGGCGAATTAAAAGTTGGAATATAAAATTTCCGCAACAGAAAATGGAACAAGCCAATACGCTTCAGGAAATTTTGCGAAGTTTGCGATTTTGCTTTGTTTTGTGGCGCGCTGTACGGACACGGCGGCGGTTTTGCTGCCTCACGTCAATGCAATGCACGTCAATGCACCGGGAACTTGCACAGATAACGCACGAACATTATTTTGTATTCGATGGTTCAATGGTCTCTTTCTGGCGGGTCATTTGCTGCGTGCATTCGTTATGCAGTTCCGCACGTTTTGGCATCACGCCGCCGTTGATAATCTCGCAAAATATAGGAAATGAGCACATCCACATCGACATCAACTGATTATTTTAGTACCGAAAAACTTGATTGTTCCCGCTTTTCTTAATTGTTCGTTGTTGCTAAAGGCTACTCTTAAGTCGTGCTCACTCGATCAGGCATGGTTATCTTTGTCGATACGAGAGGGTTTAGCGCTTACTATGCCACGGATTTTGACGGGAAAAATGGTTATATCTTCCGCTGTACCAGTCCATCGAGATATCGGCCACTCTTACTAGTTTTCTACGCTTATTTTCTGAGAACAAGCACCACATTTTGACTTTAAAAGATAGTGGCTCAACCCAAACGAATCTCACACCTGTACAATATTTCTGAACCGTCTTGGTTTGGGTCGTCACGTAAGGGCGACCCCGACACCTAGGACAGCTTGCCCAGGTGGCTCTCGCCCGCTTCTGAGACCGCGGTAACGTTGGCACTGTACTGATGCTACAACGAAGAAGGAAACTACCTGACAAGACGGTAGTCGCTGTAAGAATGGAAATTTTATGAGGGAACTGTTTACTTCACGGACAATTTTTAACTGTGCTGAATCTCCTTAGCTCGCGCCCGGCCGAGAGAAGTTGACTCCACCCTCTACGGTTTTTCGAGAACAGGTCAAAATCAAGCGCCTGCAGCCAACGGAATTTTTAGGGTCTGTTCAGTTATCAATTTGGCATCCTTTGTGCAAAGCTGAAGCCTTGATCTATTAAGATCACTGACCTGTATCAGGTGGAAGAGGTCGACCCTTAAAACAACTTTGACCACACCCAAGTTTTGACTGGCCGTTTGCCATTGTCCAAACTTATTATAGCAGTAGATCATGATAGAACCTACAGTTTGTATCTTTTGAATTGTTCGGAAAATGCAAGGTCAGTGACCTAGAGTTGGGAAAATTTTGGCTTTCTTTCGTAAATAATGCCAATTTGTTCGTCTATTTGTACAGTTTTGGTGTTTATATTGGAGGAAATGAACACTAACTTACAGGTACAACCATCCTATGGCCACGGAGGTCGTCAAGGTCAACAAATTATGTTTCCAGTGGTGGAGAGGCTACATGAGCGAGTGCGACGCGTGCAACCACCCCTTTATCGTGTTTGTGAGACTGATAACGTATAATTTCATGAACCAACGTACCTGTTCTTAGTCAATTACAAATGGATGGCCAAGCTTTGAAGGACTACGCTTAACGCAGACAACAACTATGCAGTCTTGAGTAGGTGCAGACGCTCAACACGATATTTCTGACCACAGAAAAAAACAACATTTTAATGGCCACATTAACCCCGTTGGCACGTTAAATTTGACATTTGCATGATCCCGTTAGCACGCTAAATTTGTCATTTGCATGGCTTATGAATGTGTCCTAAGCTCACCTCAGATAACCTCTAAGTCAGTCTAAAATGGTATCTTTGTGTCTGGAATGCTTTTGTTCCAAGCTGCACCTAGCAAAATAAACTTAGCCACGAGCATATCGTGAAAAAGTATCGTGCTTGTAGGCCGCTGGTTGCCAGATATTGAGCGGTGATCTGATTTGACCCTTGTGAGGAAGCAGAAATGGCAGGAATGGACTCCTCGCAGTCTTACCCTCATTTTCGTGCCCTTAATATCTGTCTTGACGTGTTAACAAAGGTTTTGGCTGCATCTATCGAAGCAACCGTTTTTTCACCTTTCGTGACCTACGGTAGCCTCACATTTGACCTAAGTTCAAAAGTTTGTTGTAAATTATTTCATGATTTGGCGAGACCTTCAAAACGACATATGTGCAAGGCGTCTGAAGGTTGGATAGCCCAGGAGGAAGTTAAATCCCCCCCCCCCCCCCGGCCGGGCGGTCGTCTCAGACCCCTGGCTGGGCGCACGTTTATCAGTGTCGTGGTTTAGTAACGCAAATCACTACCCCGACGCCGCCGCATTCTGCCCGGCACGCGCGTCGTTGATTACAACGGTGCCTCCGTTTCAGCTCCCGCGACGACGCCGGCGCCCTGCCTGCCGCTGGTGTTCACCAAGCGCCAGTTCCCGGCAGCGGTCGAAGAGAACGTCACCGGTGACGTCATCACGCTGACCACCGACCCGTTGGCTGGCGACGTGACGTACTTCGTTCGCACTCCTGACTTTGGTGAGGCGGTGCTCTGAGTGGTGGCGCTCTCGGGTCAGAGAGAGAGAGAGAGAGAGAGAGAGAGAGAGAGAGAGAGCGAGAGGAGAGAGATGAGGAGAGGAGAGGAGAGAGCGAGAGAGAGAGAGACGAGAGAGGTGAGAGAGAGAAGAAAAAAAAACAATATAGAGAAAGACAGAAGACAGACAAGAGGGAGAGAGAGCAGAGACAGAGGACAGAGACAGAGACAGAGACAGAGACAGAGACAGAGACAGAGAAGAGAGAGACAGAAACAGAGACAGAGACAGAGAGAGACAGAGACAGAGACAGAGACAGAGACAGAGAGTTGGAAATCTTCCGCATCGCGAAACTCTGCTCGATAAACTATGGGCGAGGTTGAGAGCGTCCAGGGGTGGCGTGTGGTTTGAGGATCCTCGCTCTTTTGGCCGTCATGTGGCTGCACCGTCTGTGAGCTGTAAAGGCATGTGTTTGTCTTCAAAATGCTAGAGTTATTTGTCCATGACTCATGACCTCAAATTTAAGTTCGTCTTTAAATGGCCCAGGCAGTCAGTAAAACGTAAAGCCCGGATCATCATAAACACCACTACCACCACCATCCACCCACCCACCCACATCCGCAAAAACACACGCACGCACGTACGCACGTGCGTGCGTACGTGCGTGCGTGTATATATATATATATATATATATATATATATATATATATATATATATATATATATATAGATAGATAATAGATAGATAGATAGATAGATAGATAGATAGATAGATAGATAGATAGATAGATAGATAGATAGATAGATAGATAGATAGATAGATAGATAGATAGATAGATAGATAGATATATATATATATATAACTATATATATAACTATATATATATATAACTATATATATATAGTTATATATATATATAACTCTATATATATATATATAACTCTATAACTATATATAACTGTTATATATATATATATATATATATATATATATACATATATAGCAGCCTCTTTGGCAGCATCTGTGTAGCTCTGGCGATATTGTTCGACATTTCGTAAAACTGGTGCTGCATTGCAGTGCGACAAACTTGACTCCTGTTCCAGATGACGCCTTTCACCTCGACGAAAACTCAGGAGTGCTTACAAAGTTGAAGAAGCTGAACCATCAGAGGGTGAGTATCAATCATCAGAGACACATTTTCTACAGACAGGGTTCCGACAAGGTAATGAAATCAAAGCGATGACAAAATGATGGAATTTAGCGGGATGAATGGCAAACATTTGCTTGCAGACCAAAAAACATCTGAAGAATTGTAGGCCAAAGATTATGATGGAAATAGCATGTGTTTGTTATACTAGCAAGAAGCCAGGAGATCGAATCGTCATGTGGTTTACAGCATCCGCCAGCCGAGTGAGTGCGGCCAACTTTCCCCTCTATACGTCCCACGTCGGCTCCAGCTTCACGTCCCACGTCGGCTCCAGCTTCACGTCTCACTTCGGCTCCAGCTTAACGTCCCACGTCGGCTCCAGCTTCACGTCCCACGTCGGCTCCAGCCTCCTGTCCCACGTCGGCTCTAGCCTCCTGTCCCACGTCGGCTCCAGCCTCCGACCCCACGCCGGCTCCAGCCTCCTGTCCCACGTCGACTCCAGCCTCCCACCCCACGTCGGCTCCAGCCTCCGACCCCACGCCGGCTCCAGCCTCCTGTCCCACGTCGGCTCTAGCCTCCTGTCCCACGTCGGCTCCAGACTCCTTTCCCACGTCGGCTCTAGCCTCCTGTCCCATGTCGGCTCCAGCCTCCCACCCCACGTCGGCTCCAGCCTCCCACCCTAAGTCGGCTCCACCTTTACGTCCCACTCCGGCCGCAGAATCATGGACGCCAGCTTGTGGCTCAGTTTGATAAGCATAATCGCTCAAAAGGTCTTATTACTCGTGTTCAATGTTTTTACATGTAATCAAATAATTAGTGGTCCTGCCTTCAGACAAACCCCCGGCAGTACTCGGGGCATGATTAAGGGCCACAGCCGGAGAACTGAAAGGGTTCTCTGATACACGGTCGCGGCATCACGATGTAACGGACCGCTTTATTAATGCTCTGTTCGTTCTCGAGCTGGCTGCTCAAGAAGGTGCTTCGGTCCGGCTATTGCATTCACCAGTGCTAACAAGCGTGCCGCTGCCGCCGCCATTATGTTCCGTGAGAAATATTTTCGGACAGGCTGGACGTCTTTTCCTGCGTATGTCGCCATTCATGGCGATCCTATACCTCTGCGTAAATTGAGAACTGGCCAATCCAGCACTGGGGATAGCCAGTCATATTGTAAACATTCAATTTTGCAAGCGACGAATACAAGTACAGTTAAGTACAAAAACAGTACCATGCCATTTACCATATTAGAGAAGCCATTTAACTTCGGTACGAATTTCATTACGATGGAATACTTCATGGCTTGCACGTGCGTGCGTGTTTCCGGCTTGGTGATGCGATCGGCAGCGAGTTCGCGAACCACTTACTCGGTCTGAATCTAGCTGATTTTGTAATGTGGGGATTTTCTTCCGACAGGTGTCTCTGCTGGTCCAAGGCGTGGTGAGCGGGCAGGAGCGTAAAAATCAGACGAAACGACACGGACGTGGTCGCCTGGGATGAGACGCTCATCGTCATAGACGTGACGGTGAGCCATGTGCCTGGGCAGCTCTTTCAACACGCGTTAAGCCTTTGTTTTACCTGTGAGAGCATCAACAAAAAAGTATGAAAAAGTGGTTCGCATAGATTACGCTGGCAATAATCGCGTTGTTTTATTTTCGCAAAACGCGCTAAAAATGGCAAATACAAAAGGACACAACAAACAGAAATCGTCCTATCAAGGGTGTCGGGGCATTTGACAGATAGTTTACTCGTCTGCCCAGTCAGTGGTGATAATGTCAGATAAAAGTAAGGTCAGATGGCACAAATGATGCTCATCTCGCAATAATTTGCTTCCGAGCATAGGCACTAGCTTTCCAATCCGAAATTAACATGCAGTTGTACACCCATCTTTGGGCAATGGGACGCATCTTGAACTGGGTACATTTCGACGTGATCTCTCTTCAACATTGGTTGGTCCTCAGGTAGTATCAACAGGCACATCTCTGGCATCATGCCAACAAATTGCCATAGCATTCATGATCTTTGCCTATGTCATTATGTGTATATATAAATATATATATATATATATATATATATATATATATATATATATATACGCACATACATATGTATGTACATGTATATTTACATATGCATATATATATATATATATATATACGCACATACATATGTATGAACATGTATATTTACATATGCATATATATATATATATATATATATATATTTATATACTTGCGTGTGGGTGGGGGTGTCTGTGTGGGCGTTGGTGTGGGTGTATATAACGGCGTGTGATACCACGCACCACTTAGCCGGCTCATCGGAAAAACTAGGTGGGGGCCCTTGTCCACGTCACGTCACGCGGCCCGCATGACCTGATCACGGACCACTTGGACTCCGCCATGTCGGCTCAGCGAACTATGACGCTATCTCTGAACATTTGCAATGCAGCGTTACAAAGGCTGTCGTTTTTGCTATTCATTAACGTAGTGCGTTTCGCTACGACACGTGTACGCAATGATAATATGCAAAAGCAGCCTCAGTTTTGGAAGGTCAATAACCTTTCAGAACCGTATAAGGGCAGTGATTTGTAAGAAGATTTGTTGAGTTGATTTTCTGTTGCGGTTTGGTACTCATTGGGATATTTCCTGTCGTGTGCACCTGGAAATGATAATTTCCGACTTTATTTGTTTTTTTTTCATTTTTTACCATACTTTAACACCAGAACACATAAAATCGATTCTCGGCACCCCCAGCTAGGAAGAAGACGCAAACATAAAGAAGCAGGCGAAGAGGTGGAGCAGACCCGGCAGGAATCGTGTTATGCAATAGGCAAGGGCAAACCATAAAAGAGAATGCTTAAAGTAGTCACAGCCAATGCCAGCTAATGACAGCTCGCTAAAACCACCTAACAAACTGTTACCAATCATTCACATGAATGGCCCCGAACACCGTGGCAGACCTGACCGAAAGTGCCAATGGTTGACCGCGAAGTGTCTAACCATTGCTTGTTGGGCACCCAATAAACTAGGCTACCCATTGGCCTTGGTCTCATGGGTGTCACCCAGGTTGAGATCGAACCTGCTATGGCACCCATCGCCAAAGACGTGAGTATACCCCGGCCAGCAATGGGTAGGCTTTCAACGGGTACAACCCATATATTTACATTATACTTAAGAACGGCAGGTAGAGTGGCATATCCTGTACTTCGCATTATGCAATGTATATGTGTAGATGGGTATCCACGCAATAACCGCTGCTACCTACTTTGAATGTAGATTTCTTATTCTCTCTCTTTTCTCCTCCTGTTGAGAACAGGAGGAGAGACAGGAGGTTTTCTCCTCCTGTTAAGAACAGACAGCAGCGAAATTCGCCAGCGCGAGATGCATGAGCGTTTTTTTTTTGCCGTTTCCAATCCGAAATGCATCCACTCCGAGTTGCATCAGCGAACTCCACTACCGAACTGCATCCACCTTCCTGCTGCACATTCTCACCTGACTGCTTGTTCTCTTGTGACGTCACCCATACGCGCCGCGTGCAGGACCAGAACGACAACCCGCCTTTGCTGGACTGCCGGCCCTACAGCGACGACTGCCAGCGGGTGGCAGTCGGCTTCCCGGCTGGCGGGACGGCGCCGCTGCCGGCCCCCCTGCTCCGGCTCACTGTGAGTGGCTCGGGGATGCGTGTCGGTGGGGAGGGTGACGTCATAGGAGACCTCGAGACTGTCGCACGAGATCCCGAGGCTCCGCTCTTATTGGACGGATGCCATACGCTGAGGTGCCGACCTGCGGTGTCGCGGGTTAATACGCCGGACATGGCTATGAAGGAATCCAAAGTGTGAGCCGCAAGTGGCATCAGCTGATGCAGCCGATGAGCACACATAGGGCACAGCGACAAGCCGCTTGTAAGTAATAAGATGCAGAAGCATTGATAATTTACGTTATAAAAACGGCGTTGTGCATCACGCTGTCCATATGCCAGGAGTCCCAAATGGCAGGGAGGTTTCCACCTTTGTATATGGTTTTGAAGTAAGATAGCCATTCTGAAAAACTTCAGTGTGGTTCACAGCCGTGTCCTTTTTAAGGCTTGAAATGCTCTTGCTTTAAACCGTGGTGTTTGACCATTTGTCTCGCCTCGGCAAGATGAAGGGCCTAACGCCGGCGAACTTGTGCAGACTATTGCGTATAGACTATTTCAAAATCACCCAGACTTCCTCGGCGCCCCGCAGATGCCACTGGAATTCTGCCACCTTATTGGCCATGTGCTGCTCAACTTGTTAACTGCAATTTCGAATAAGCTAAGAATAGTGCCATAACCAAACATTTGGATGCAAGTAAACAACGTAAAATCTCGGGTTTATATCCAGGCTTATCGCGAGAAACGGCCAAAACACACATACGCGACGATAGCTGGATATTCAAAACGTCGCATTCATTATTACGACAACTCTCGAGAAGTTGAAGTACTACAAATGAGTCAGCCTGTCCGCTAGCGTGCCATTTTCGCCCTGCCAGTTTGGCACTGCCTCTGACGTCATACACACGTTCCATCGTAATCAAGGTATCCCGGCTTCTAAATTACTAAGACCACTGAAGATGGACTAACCAGGCAGTGAATTTTTTTGTCCAGCTTGGCTTTTACATTCAAAAGCAAAGAAATAGTTACAAGTGACCTATCATCCTGTCAGATGTAAAACCGCTCATTTCATCACATCAGATATTTGCCTTCACATCTTCAAATTTGTAACATTCCCATCACAGACCATCAACACGCGCTGTCCGTTGCTAGGCGTTTCTACGTAACAACCGTGCTATACCACACTTATTTCCCCCTTTTGGCTAAGTAATGAATGGCTTCAGGGGAGACGGCACGGGAAGTCAGGTAGCTACGTCAGGTTGAATAGGCGCACGCAAGTAGTGAATGGACTTACAACTGCTAGTGAAGACCTAACAATCATAAGTTTGGTCTGTAAGACAACGGTAAGAATGAACCGTGTACTATGCCTTTCTGACTTCATGAGACGTGCGTCGTGCACCAGCGTGCATGTCGGCACAGATCGAATCGTGAGCTGCTGAGTTGGCGTGCGTTATCATACGCTGATGTCATATGCTGGGCGTGTGTGACGTGTTATTTGTAAGACCAGCGGATCCTATCTGTGAGGACAAAATGCAGTACGTTATCCTCAAAATGTCATCGGTAGCGGCGAACCGGTAACATTGAAACGCCATTGCATGGTGTCCTCAAGCGTAGTGGACGCGACGCACTTTTTCAAGGAAGCCAGGCTGGCACTGGTTTCGTGAGGCAGCTACAGAGCTGGCTGAAGATATGCTCGCGAATACCCGTGATCTGAGGTGTGGTGCGTAAGCCGCGATGGCGTGCGCGCGTGTCAGATGGAGGGTACAGTGCGCGTCCTCGTGTCGGTTTCAGGCGACAGATGGCGACACGGGTGCGTTCGGAGAGGATGGCCTGGTGTTTACCGTGGACTCTAGTGACGTCACTGTGGACGCAACGGGGATGCTGTACCTCCTGAAACAGCCGTAAGTTTGGGGTTCCGGTGGGTTGGACACAGACAGCTTGCCACCGACATTATCTTGTTGGGATTTCAGTGTGTTTTACTTGCAAATAACGACCTGTGGCGTCACGAATAATGCAGCACTTTGTAATGTGCACCGGTGGCGAATTTTGCCCGAATCGTTGCTTTTAGTAGGAATGCAATCGCTCCAGTGCCACATAAAACCAAATAGTCCTAGTTGAAATAGACGGGAGCCCCTTAATGGCGTTTAAGATATTTTGCTTCCCCAAGATGGTGCATTTTCCTCAAGAGCATGCTAATGCGGAGCTTTGGAATAGGACACAGCATCACGCGATGCATTGCGCTACCATGGCATGTGGCAATCAATTTAACCCCTAGTTCTGGAAATATATCGCGTTTTTTCCTTTCCCAGCCGCGGGGAGACGGCAGGAGGGTGAACTGTGTTAACCGGCATAGCTGTTCCTATTTTTTAAAGATTGGGTGAAGACACTTTGATTGAATTGTTTTCTGTTCAAAAACTTTGTCGTCGACGTACTCAGACTGGGTCGCTGAGACAAAAATGCACGCAGAATGATCGCGTGCTCTGTTTAGAGCCAAGCTGTGGACATGCAACTTGGTTGAGAGAAACATAAAACGTAGGCATAAGACAACGGCTTAGCGTGTTTTTCGGCTGCTGGTGGAGGTTGGTGGTGCATAGTTACCTGAACAAGAAGTACCTCTGCTTTCTGTTGTATTTCATTTTTCACGGAGAACAATTCACACAGTTCTACATTTTGGATGGTCCACTCTGTGCAGCGAGATACATTGGTACCAGTATCCAACGTTATTTTCCAACTAATGCAGTACGATAATTTTGATAGCATTTTCTTGCGCACTTTGTAATCACATGGCGTAGGCCAGAAAGCACAACGCAGTATTTTTCGACCAGGTAAATAGCCAACGACAACTTTACAGTCCATTGTTTGATGGTGGCGCGCGTAACAGTTTTAGTGACGAGAGCGCGGCGGCTGGTGTAAAATGGTACCACTGAACAACGGGCGGTGTCGATTTTACAGAACCACTTTCACAACGATTTCGGTCACCGCAGCAGACAACATGGGACAATCTCCCTCTTTGGAGGACGTCGCTAAAATCACTGTGAGTGCATTTGCTCAATGTTGCGTGACAAAGGGCGACATATAGGACCGTGCTGGCTGTCTATATTCATGGATCCGTATGCAACTGTAAACGTACCAAGGGCTTACTTTAGTCATGTCAACCTGAACTTGATCGCTGACTTCAGTGGGCATAGAACTAATTCATGCCGACTTCACTGTTGTTTTTTTAAACTAAGTTAGTAACCAACGCTGAAAATGCGACACGAGCCTAAGTGTTGCTGAAATATTTGCTTACCTAATCCTTTGACCCCAAAACAGCTGGTTGCCGCCTTCTTGCTGATGATGTGATCATTTTCCGCAGTTTCGCGACCGCGTTCCCCGTCGGCAGCTGTTTATCTCATCATTTGCCGCTGTTTTTCGGCCGTGTTCCGTGTCGGCAGCTGCTTAATTAACCAGTTTCCGCAGTTTTGCAACCGTGTTCCCCGTCGGCAGCTGTTTAACTAATCATTTTCCGCTGTTTTGCGACCGTGTTCCGTGTCGGCAGCTGGTTCCTATTCCCGACGACAACATATTCTACGTCAGCACGACGTCACACCTGACCGACGTGGAAAGTGTGACGTCACTTCTGCATGACGTGGCAGTTGCGGGGAGCTACGACGCGGTCTACTCCATGGATTTCCAACCAATCAGCGCAGGAGATAAGGTCGGCAGGAAGGCACGATGACGGGAGACCATGTGCCTCTCACCGCCTCGTCCCCTTCCCCTCCCCCGCTGTCATCTACGACGTATCTAGACTATTTTGTCTCCCTCAACACTGCACTTCCTCTTGTATCTCTTGTGTGGTTTATTGGTTTTTGTTTTTTTTTCGTCTCCCGTCTGTTATTGGTTCGTGTCGTCTTGCTGGCGTCTCT